GAACTCCTTCCTATTGTGTGACAAGCATAGGCAAGTGAGCATAATCCATGGGGAACAATTAAATGACGAATATTTATGTATATTTGTGGCATGTAAATATGTAAGTATTATTATGCTTAAAGATATGTGCTTTCCAATGATAAAATTTTATTGCTATCAGTCCCTCAAACGCTAATATTTCATGTGGGTTCATATTATAACTAGGAATAATATAATGATTACTTATGATCCTTTTTGACGAAAATTTTAAAATTTTTCAGAATGCACAAAGCTCTCTTTTAGCTGAAATTGTCTTAGAAACGCAAAGTAAGTAGTAATGTTATTGAGTGATTCATGACATCTGCACAGCAGTTAATACTCCAGAAAATAGTCGGACGAACAATGTGCGCCCATTTTGAAGTATCGTGTTAATAGCTGTATACTATGAATCCGACCGTTGCTATACTTGATGCCGGAGCGCAGTATTGCAAAGTTTGTTCTGTAATATGTGACTACCAACACGATTAAAGGTTATTGATAGACGAGTGCGTGAGTTGAATGTTCATTCAGAAATTCTGCCTTTGAATATTTCTTTGGACGATCTACTGCAGAAGGGCTATAAGTAGGATTTCTATTGGATGCTTGCATCCTAGAGCTGTAATTATATCTGGTGGCCCAGGATCAGTAGCGGATGATGATAATATCCTTTTTGATCGCAAAATTTTTGAGGGTCGTATACCCGTTTTGGGTATATGCTATGGAATGCAGGTATTTCTTGTCATATGATGAGATTTCGTAGCTGATTAACCATCTTTGTGGTGGAAAGGTCGAGCAGTCTGGAACGCACAGACATGGCCAGTTTGTAGTTCGTCTTGACACATCGTCTCCTCTATTTTGGTAAAGTGGTTCCGATGATTTATCTTTTGTGCGCATAGCGGTCTTCAACCTGAGGAAACTGTGCTTTTAACACACGAAGACCGGTGCACGGATATCGCCGAGGGGTTTGTACCTATTGGAACCCTTGATGATTATGTGGTTGGTATGTTTCTAAGATCGTTTACTTCACGATCTTGGACTTGCAACTTCGACTGCTTTCGTGCTTTCTCTACATTAGATGGCGGAGAATTTTCTATTTGACACGGTGCAAAATTTTACTCCAAATATTAGTATCTTTGCGATTGTTAGAATTTTGTCGCACTGCTCTCCCAACAGTCTTCGTACTAATGCGTAGCTGTTGGGTATTCTTTCAATTAAAGAGTTCTTACACTGCGTGTTTGCGTTTTCCTCAACAAGCTCATTTGTTCACTATGCTTTTAATGTGCTTTTGCTTCAAGTGCCTGTGTTTTTTATATACCAGCCATATCGAAACCTGAACGAAATAACTATGGCGTTCAATTTCATCCGGAAGTGGACTTAACAATTAAAGGAAGTATTATGCTGTCGAATTTCCTGTTTGAAATCGCTGGCCTCACCCCTAGTTTTCGAGTAGAGGATCGATTGGATTCGTGTGTCAAGCATCTCCAAACAACTGTTGGGGAAAGAAAAGTTTTGGTTGGTTTTACTACTTTATCACTGCTTTCAAATTTAGCTTCGTCATAAAACGGTTAGGTTGCTTAACTTGATCATATGGAGGCAATATATAGACAGTTGATGCGCCGTCCAACAATTTAGTTTTTTTGGCATTACCGAGTTCCTTTTTATGCCCTGGGTTGTTGAGCTCATCTCAGTTATCTTGCGATCAGTTATTCAATCCATCTACTTAATGTGTGATCAAAATGTCCTTCTTAAGGAGGATCACTACTCGGATATGCTTAACGCTTGGTTTCATTGATTGCTTTTTTGCGTCCTTCCAGTTTCTGCTCAGTGGGGGTGTTGATTCAACCGTATGCGCAGCCATTGCGCAGAAGGCTCTTAAACCGGAACAAATTTATGCAGTTCACATAAACAATGGCTTCTTGCGGAAAAATGAATCCGAATCGACACTGGAAGCCCTGAGCAAGCTTGGTCTTAACGGTGGGCTCGGTTTTTATCACCTTCATCTATGAACTACTTTCATGCTGTGCCTTGTCTAATCGGCATTTCCGTTTCTCTTTCTAAATTGGATATTTTTCTCGACGAAAGCTTGTCTTCGTATACCAAAATCAGACTTGACAACTGCATATTATTAGTGATGTTGCTCATGCATCCTTGAATAGTATTGAATATGACTGAGGCATTACCCCATTGTATTTGTAATGCCTTGCAACCCGTTTTGTGCACTGACTAGGTTGAGGCTGTATAATAGTGATTGGACATTGCCTACAAATGTTATCCAAAGTTTTATTTCGTGTCCGTCTTAATGTTTTTGTAAGACCATATTGAAATCCAAATGCGTCTATTGCCTAATCACGCATCCTTATTCCTCATTTTATTTTATTTTTTTGATAAATTACCTTTGTCCCTTTTTAGTGAAGTATGTGAACGCCTCATTACGCTTTTACTCTGGTGTGACTACCTATCAAGTACCTGTAGACACATCAGCACTGGCACCAGCCAGTCTCCTTTGTAAGGCACCTCAAGGGGCATGTGCTACGGGTGAGACTGTGGAATCCCATAATGCAATGGAGGTGGACAGCAATGATAACAATATCAGTCTCTCACCCAGGGCAATTCATGGAGGAGTTGTACCCTACCACGAGATTCGAAATATCCCAATAGGTCCTCTCAATCTGCATGTTGTGAATCCAGAAGAAAAGAGGAAAATTATTGGGGACGTTTTTATTCGAGTGGCTGAGGAGATTTGGCGTGACATGAAACTGAATCCAGATGAGTTTCTCCTTTGTCAAGGTACCACTTTATCTAGTAGTGATTTGTGATTGCACAATCCTTTCTCGACTTTAATTTCCTTGGGTTCTTTTTTTAACTCTAGGTACCCTACGACCAGATCTTATTGAATCAGCGTCCACATCTGTCACTAAGAAAGCTGATTTGATAAAAACTCATCACAATGTTTCCGATCTTGTCAAGAAGCTCAGCCAAGAGGTAAGTTTTCTCACGTCATAGGCAAAAAGCAACTATTTCTTATCACTTACCTCCTGTCTGTCGATGGTGGCAGTGTAAACATTCCTCTCGGCTCTATAATTTTGCAGGGTCGTGTTATCGAACCTTTGGCTGATTTTCATAAGGATGAGGTCCGTTCTATTGGTCGAATGCTTGGTTTACCTGATGTGGTTGTGGAACGTCATCCCTTTCCGGGACCTGGCCTAGCTGTTCGTATCCTTTGTGCCAACGAGCCGTTTGTGGAACGGGATTTTCCAGAGACCACGAGTTTAATAAAAATGATAGCGGGATATGCGGCAATGTCACAAAAGGCAAATTATTTCTACTTGGTTTTTCAAGTAATATTTTTTTAGCGTTGCTGAACTTGGAAGTTTGGTTAATTTTTCTAGCCGCATGCTTTGCTGAACAAGATTAATGCAGCCATCAATGCAGACGAGCAGCACAGGCTCAACGAGATGACTGCTGGCGGAGCTCTTGCTGCTCAGATTCTGCCCATTCGATCCGTTGGTGTTCAAGTACGTGTTCCCTTTCACCGTGAACCGTTTTTGCGATTACTATTTCAATTCACATCAAGGAACACATGGAGGAAGATGATGATTTGTCTTTATGTTGTTATATTGGTAGGGCGACTGCAGGTCATACAGTTACGTATGCGTTGTATCGTCAGACAAAAAACCCGACTGGGATTCTCTCTTCTTCATAGCTCAAATTATTCCTCGAATATGTCACAATATTAACAGGTTAGTGTTGAAATTCATTATCCTTTTTTAAAGTTTTTCTGGTGGTTGTCAGGTTTCTGAGGTCATCTCTTGCTCCCACATTTGATGTCTAGCTCTCAGTATTTGTTCAAAATTTGACGTGCGTTGTCGTTGTGGTCCTCAAACTCCTCCAACTTGTCCTTCCACGAGAAAGTCATCAGCTCACCTCTTTTGCCCTACAGGGTGCTAATGCGCTACCGTTTGTTGTCTTAACTGTTGCACCCAGGATTTCGATGCACGTGGCGATTTAAAATGTAGTGTGGGAAGCCTTCTTGCCCTCAGTAGAATTTGGGA